TATTAACATTATGTTAAAAATAAAGTGCTAGATCTTGGGGCTCATAAAACACTGCAGAAAATAGTGTGTGAAAATTACAGTAGGTTTAAAAGCTGAGTTTCTGTTAGAAAGCCAAAGAACAAGTAATTTAAAGGTAGGATTCAGCGAGTGATTTTGGGCATCATGAGTATCTCCTCCCATTACCGTGGTATCAGTATCTACCATTGCCATGGTATCAGTATCTGCTACCATTACCATGGTATCAGTATGTGCTACCATTACCATGGTATATCTGCTACCATTACCATGGTATCAGTATCTGCTACCATTACCATGGTATCAGTATCTGCTACCATTACCATGGTATCAGTATCTGCTACCATTACCATGGTATCACTAAGAGTCACAGTTAGCACAAGATGGTGTAACTTCTCAAGAAAACATCAAGAAAAACAGAGACTTGATAATTATATCTTAAAATGTACCAAACCTGAGGGAGGTATCAACAACACTGAGGGAGGTATCAACAACACTGAGGGAGGTATCAACAACACTGAGGGAGGTATCAACAACACTGAGGGAGGTATCAACAACACTGAGGGAGGTATCAACAACACTGAGGGAGGTATCAACAACACTGAGGGAGGTATCAACAACACTGAGGGAGGTATCAACAACACTGAGGGAGGTATCAACAACACTGAGGGAGGTATCAACAACACTGAGGGAGGTATCAACAACACTGAGGGAGGTGTGACAGCTGTAGTTATAACTTCTGAAAATTTGAGAGTTTTCCTATCCTGACAGCTTTGGTCCTGGACCAGGCTTCCCCAGTTATTATCTTTTTAAGCAGGCTGTTGCTACTGCTGGCCCCCTGACCCACAGTGCCTTCAGAGTCTGGTTGAACTTGCACTTGATGGAGACTACCATTCAATCAGTCTCAGTTAAGAATGACAGTCAGCAGTGAAGGTAGGGAAGAGAGCTGACAGTCAGCAGTGAAGGTAGGGAAGAGAGCTGACAGTCAGCAATGAAGGTAGGGAAGAGAGCTGACAGTCAGCAGTGAAGGTAGGGAAGAGAGCTGACAGTCAGCAGTGAAGGTAGGGAAGAGAGCTGACAGTCAGCAGTGAAGGTAGGGAAGAGAGCTGACAGTCAGCAGTGAAGGTAGGGAAGAGAGCTGACAGTCAGCAGTGAAGGTAGGGAAGAGAGCTGACAGTCAGCAGTGAAGGTAGGGAAGAGAGCTGACAGTCAGCAGTGAAGGTAGGGAAGAGAGCTGACAGTCAGCAGTGAAGGTAGGGAAGAGAGCTGACAGTCAGCAGTGAAGGTAGGGAAGAGAGCTGACAGTCAGCAGTGAAGGTAGGGAAGAGAAGCTGACAGTCAGCAGTGAAGGTAGGGAAGAGAGCTGACAGTCAGCAGTGAAGGTAGGGAAGAGAGCTGACAGTCAGCAGTGAAGGTAGGGAAGAGAGCTGACAGTCAGCAGTGAAGGTAGGGAAGAGAGCTGACAGTCAGCAGTGAAGGTAGGGAAGAGAGCTGACAGTCAGCAGTGAAGGTAGGGAAGAGAGCTGACAGTCAGCAGTGAAGGTAGGGAAGAGAGCTGACAGTCAGCAGTGAAGGTAGGGAAGAGAGCTGACAGTCAGCAGTGAAGGTAGGGAAGAGAGCTGACAGTCAGCAGTGAAGGTAGGGAAGAGAGCTGACAGTCAGCAGTGAAGGTAGGGAAGAGAGCTGACAGTCAGCAGTGAAGGTAGGAAAGAGAGCTGACAGTCAGCAGTGAAGGTAGGGAAGAGAGCTGACAGTCAGCAGTGAAGGTAGGGAAGAGAGGAAGCAAAGTCTTGGAAAGGACAGGACTTGTATTCTATGTACTCTCTTATAAATAATATAATGATATTAATGATTAACAAGTAGAGAAGTGAAGATATGTGAAGTATACATGTTCTCTGGTAGAAGTCAGTAGTGTACATGTTCTCTGGTAGAAGTCAGTAGTGTACATGTTCTCTGGTAGAAGTCAGTAGTGTACATGTTCTCTGGTAGAAGTCAGTAGTGTACATGTTCTCTGGTAGAAGTCAGTAGTGTACATGTTCTCTGGTAGAAGTCAGTAGTGTACATGTTCTCTGGTAGAACAGGCAGTAGTGTATATGTTCTCTGATAGAACAGTAAGTAGTATAGTGTACATGTTCTCTGATAGAAGTCAGTAGAGTTGTGTACATGTTGTCTGATAGAGAGAACAGTCAGAAGTGAACAGTCATTGTTCTCTCTGAGAGAACAATGTTCTCTCTCACTGTTCTCTCTGAAAGAGAGAACAATGAGTTAAGAGGTGGTGAAGTTGTCAGCACAAAAGCTGAGGCCCCACATCATCATGGGTATCAACGGACTGATGGAACAACAAGATCTTGGGGCACTGGGGTTCTGAGGTATTACAATTACTGGGGTTCCAAAGATATTTAACCAAGAAGGTACTATAAATAATGTATCAAGTTAAATAAATCCAGACTTAGAAAGGACAAAAAAAAAAAAAAAACATGGTTTAGCAAGAGTTAACACTGAGTGAAACATTCTGCCAGGTAGGGGTTAATGATGCTATAACCTTTGGTATTTTTAAAGAGGTTGGACTAATATGAGTGAAAATGGTAGGATGTGAGAAGGGCCTGAGTAGCATGGTTCAGTAGGCAAGCTGCAGTGCTCCTCCAATCTTAACTTCTTAAGTTACTTGATAAAGCATTACCTTGACCTGATAACAGTCTACCCTGAATAAACCCTACAACTAAAAACCTGTATATACACAAATAACTCTCACACAGGAAAAAGATGATGTTTTGGACCGACTTGTACCATTGACAAGTTACACTAACACTTGAAGGTGTTAGTGTAACTTGCCAGTGGTACAAGCCAGACTGAAACATTATAAGTTTTTTCTATATTATTTGTGTATTGTTCCAGTCATAGTATTGTGCATTTTGTTCTTCTGTATATTATGTCATCATAGCCATACATGATGGCATTATGCCTGTACATCCTAACAGAGGTACCAGGAGAATGTCCAGGTGTATGTGCAACTCTGTCCAATATATAGTTGTGAGATTATGATTACGTAGCCAACACTGATAAAGAAAGATTACAGCTTGATAGAAAACAGTTTGTTAGTTGGTATTTAGATCAACACTATTGTCAGCAGTCTTGAGGGCAATGAGACAGTGCTAGAAAGTGTCTGAAAATTAGACTTCCCCCCATAAAACTGGTAGGTCTTGAACTAAGTAATAAGGAGTCAAGTCAGTGAGTTCACTGTCCCATACAAGAGAACGCTCGCCAATGCACTGAAGACAATCTATGTCTGCAGGAGATGCAACACAAGCATTGCTGAACATGAAATATAATGGGAAGGGAGGAGTCAAAGCTTTTGATCACTTGTAATGCACTCGAACTCACTAAAACTACAACAGAGGGGAACAACATGTAAAACATTACCTGGATGTTAAGTGAGTGTAACCTGGGTGCCTGTAAGTTAAGAACCTGCTGTAATTCACTGCCTTGGTGTCTAGTCTTGTCAGTGAGGCCCGACTCAACCTATACTGCCACTTCATAACCAGGCCGCCTTGCCTTGTCTCTCTCCTCTACTATATACACACATGGTGGCAACACATTTTCCGCATCAGTAACTACTGGCGAACAGAGATCGGTATTTGCATATTTTTGGGGATAAGGCAAGAAATTTTCTGTGCCATAAAGATTTTCTTAACGCTCATAAAGTGGAATGGGGATCCTGGTCCCAAGCCTTGTTAAAGAGGCAATTTATAACGGTTGCTGATCATTGAGATTTGTCCTCGTTAAATGGACTGTTACTTAAAGCCACTTAAAAGTAAACAAACCTTAATTTGTCAATAACATTACATTAACTAGATCAGTCTCATGCTATACATTAGGTATTTTCAAGTCTGTCTACGATCCTTCTTCTTAGATTTAGGGGATTTTCACATGGGAGGATACGGGCCATGGCTAAAGCCACCGAGGGTAGACGAATACGGTGATCGGCCAGGTGTCGGAGGTGCAGGATAGGTTTGGTAGGGGCTGGGAGGTGTGTGTAGGGCCCCATACTGGCCCATAGTGGGAGGCTGTGGTGTAGTTGCAGAATGTGGGCTTAGACCAGGGGGGTACTGGGCAGCATATGGAGGGTATTGACCTGCGTATGCTGCGTATGGGCTGGCCGAGACTGATGTCCCTGTCCGGTAGGAGGGGGCATACTGAGGGTAAGTGGGAGGCTGATATGCTGGGAAGGGTGACGGTGATGTTACTGTGGGGTTTGACGATGCATGTGCTGGACTGGGTAGTGAAGAGGTGAGAGATTGCTGGGAAGTTGCAGAGTTGATTAATGATTGCAAGTCAGGGCTAAGTGTGGCCTGGTAGTCAGGTCGGCGGAAAGCACTGGTGCCCGTTGAGAGTGTGTAGTTGAGGTAGTCCAGAGCAGAAGCATGACTGTGTGGAGAGCTCAGATCTTCTGGGACAGCATCAAATACTTGAGAATTAAGTAAATGTGACAAATTGATGGGGCTGTCGGCACCACCAAGTCCGCCACTCCTTGAACTGGTCACCAGTCCACTTCCAGCATGTGCCAGAGTTGAGCTCAGTGAACTCTGCTGTGACTGTTGTATTTGTTGTTGTTGCTGGGAGAGCTGTGGGCTCTCTGACATTGCAGGGTATGATGTAGTGCTCTGCTGTGTTGTGGCTGGCATCGAACTTGCCATGCTTGACATTGTTCCATAACTCCCACCGTTGCCGCTAAATTGTGCGTGTGTAGTTGAAGGTAGGAATGGAGACTGAGACGAAGTGTATGAATTGGAAGATGACAAGCCAGACTGGTGGACATGAGGAGCAACCTGGGCCACATTGCTGCCTAAACTGGTGGTGGGTACAGCAGTGTCCATGTTGCTCTTAGCCCAAGTACTGCTGCTGGTAGTGCTGCTACTGCCTCCTGACTGTTGTTGTTGTTGCTGCTGCTGTTGCTGTTGCTGCTGCTGCTGCTGTTGCTGCTGCTGCTGCTGCTGTGCTGGCTGCTGTAAGAATGGCTGGAAAAGTGGCTGAGAGGAGTGGAAGGCCTGCTGAGAAGAGAATGGTGGCAAGTGAGCCAGGGCAGCAGAAGAGAGACTAGTGTGTGCAGCTGCAGGGGGTCCAGGACCCCCAGGTGGCAGAAGGTTGCTCATTGATTGTAGTGGGGTCAGGCTGGCTGTGGGTTTGCTTGGTGTCTGTTGCACTTGTGGCTTCACTATGCCAGTGCGGCTTTCACTGCTGCTCATTGAACCTGACAATGGTTTTGCTAGGTCTCTCATTCCAAAGCCAACTGCTGATTTAGATGGGGCACCCAGAACCACCTCATTGGAATGGAGAGAGGGTGAAGAACTACTGCCACTCAAATTTGTGGCTCCCCCTTCTGACTGTCCTAAACCTGTTGAGTTAATAGAGCTGGCAGATCCAGACTTGTCGTTCTGTTTCTCAGGTAACGGAGAGTTCTCTGTTGTTTTCTTTAATTCTGACTCAGACATGTCTAGGAGACTATTAGAAGCAGCCAATCCTTCAAGTTTACTGGTGTCCATACCAGACTCAGCACCAGAAACTCTCTCCTTACCAGCAGCTTCACCAGCATCCTTCTCCTCCTTTGTAGGGCTGCTGCTTTCCTTCTTATTAACGAGATTGACAGGGCCCTCAGAGTCATCGCCACCCATCTTTCCTTCCTGCTTAAGATCCTTCTCCAAGACTTTGCTTTCGTCATTCTCCAACTTTGGAGCATCTGCAGAGTCCTTGCTTTCCCCTGACTCAGATTTGGTAGTGCTAACACCTGTTGTTGTTTCTTTCTCTTGTTCTTTCTTTGCTTGATTCAATTTTCTTAGTTTTTCATTTCGGTGCAAGTTTGCCAACTGTGATAGTGTGGTCTTCTTAGTTGTCTTGGGTATGATGGTGGTGCTGGGCAATTTGGCACCTCCAGCCACCCCACTTGTACTAGGCATGGCACTTCCTGGTTTGGCAGTAGTGGTGACCGTCAATTTTGGATTAAGTTTGATGTTCCGTACAGCTTTGGAAGTGGCCAGAGCAGTACTAGTCTTAGTAGCTGGGGTTATGACAACACTCTTGTTCAAGAGAGCTTGTGGTGCCACCCCACCTGACACAGGCATGGCAATAGTCTGGTAGGCCTTGCCACCACGTATGTTTCCCATGGGTTTCTTGGTAATCCTAATTGGCATTTGGCCTTTGGTGATAATGTTACCTGTAGCATACTGCATGGCCATGGGTGGGCGGCCCCTCCTGGCACCACCGCCCCTCCCACCCATGTGTGGCATCCGTGGGCGCGGAGAGTTCACGATTGTTGGGACGATCGTTACGCTTCCTTTGTTCAACGGCAACCCAAACACTTCTTCTGTAAGGAAAGACACATTAATGATACGTACATCACACATTCTATCTTATTTACACAAACAGGCTAACTTAGTCAAGAAAGTAGCTGCTCAAGTTCAATCCAGATACCAGAAGTGTAGTGGAAACAGGAGAGGAAGAGGCAATCATACCCTGAAAACAACCTGGAAGGAGAGGTACTACAGACATCAAGTAAAGAGAAACATCTGGGAATAAGCATCATAACAAAAACATCACCGTATGTGCATTTAACCCTTTCAGGGTTTCGGACGTACTAGTACGGCTTATGCACCAGGGATTTTGACATACTAGTACACCTAAATTCTAGCGCCCTCAAATCTAGTGAAAGCTGGTAGGCCTACATATGAAAGAATGGGTCTGTGTGGTCAGTGTGCGCAATATAAAAACAATCCTGCAGCACACAGTGTGTAATGAGAAAAAAAAAAACTTTGACCGTGTTCTTGGCTTAAAACAGCGACTTTGCACTGTATTTTCGTATGGTATTTATTGTTGTATTCTAGTTTACCTGGTCTCATTTTATAGAATGGAAGACATATTACAGAAATTGAGACGATTTTGACTGGTTTCACAATGAAAAGTACCTTGAAATTGAGCTCAAAGTAGCAGAAATGCTCGATTTTTACCAAAGTTCAAAAGTAAACAAATCATGCTAAGCGTCCAATACACGTCAACTGGTGAGTCTAACATTCTTTCACAATGCGCTGATATTATTTATACCATTTCTACACTAATACAGTAGTCTGCATAACAGTAAATCTTCTATTTTTTTGTGAGAATAAAAATTCAAAGTGGAAAGCAAAAGAATGTAAGAGGGGCATGGGGACGTGACTAATGAACAGAGGAAATGTTATTTTAGTGCCAGGAATGTCTTTCTTGTTTATTCTGGACCCTATTTGGAAATTGGCATCTTTTGAAATTGGCAAAATTGCTAAATTCTGAGCACTGTATTGGATAGTTGAAATCACTAAATGGGTGGTTTCTTGTACTCATTTCTTGTACTCAACAAAGACAACCAGACGCCGCACATGTGCGGCGTCTGGTTGTCTTTGTTGTGGACGTTTTGCCATCCCGTGGCTGGCTGGATGGCGGGAAAAATTACGTGGGGGGGCC